GAGGGATTCTGTAAGAGGTTACTAATATGACTCATGCAGTGTAAATGAAAGATACACTGGAGGATGGTCAGATGAAGGAAAAAGTAGTAAATAGGCTATTACAACAATCAATGCCATAGAAAGCATCAACATTTAAGAAGTATAAAATAAGTTCACCAACAGAAAAAAGAGAAGAGTAGAAACTTTCTTCATATCAGGAATAAGAAAGGAGTTTCAAGGGAAAAGTTCAAAGTGTCAATTTAACAAAAAAGAAGCAAAACAAGAACTGAAAAGTATCTATTATATTAAGCAGTGGGCAACCTTGATATGTAAAAGAGGTATGGTAAGACTATAAACCAGATAAAGAATATTGATAAATTCAAAGCAAACAAGTGAAGATCAAAGGAACTGAGCTGTGCCAAGAAGGCAGTAACTAGAGAACGTATAGTAAAAGACTGCAATACTTCTTTAAAATGGGAAAGTAAATTACTGTACCTAAAAATTAACATTATATCATCCAGAACATGTTCTATTGGGCAAAGCAGTCCACCATGGGCTTGAGTGTCCCTGCACATTCTTGTTGAGTGTGACAGTCTGAAAAGCTTACAGTAAGTCATATAGCAACAAAGAAGGTGGAGGTTACCACAACATGTAACTGCCCTCCCAGGGAAAGGTGAACTAGCTTGTTTGTTTGCTACAGTATTTTCTGCTTGCTAAAAAATGCTAAACCCTGCCCCACAGGTGCACTTCAGTGGTTGAGCATCAACCCATGCACCAAGAGGTCACCGGTTCAATTCCTGGTCAGGGCACATGCCCAGGTTGTGGGCCCAAGCAGGAAGCCCAGCATTGATGTTCCCTTTCATCTATGTTTCTGACTCTCTCTCCTTCCTTCCTCTCTCTCTAAATTTCAATAAAGAATAAAAAATACAAGTGCTAGACCCTCACTCTTGAGTTCCTCAGATGTGACTCACTAGTACATCCATCTAGACCCATCATCCTCATGGGTCCTGGTAGCAAGGAAAATTTACATAAATAATGCTGATGATCATGAAACTTGTTGTGCTGCAAGTAATAATGTCATTTGTTTCTGACCTGGGGAGTCTCCTGTTTTCTGCCAGCAACCATGAAACATTAACATACTAACTTATAAGCTTGTAAATATAGTAAAATAAAATCTTAAGACTTTCCAATTCTTGATATTAACAACAAAGAACTAGTTGACATTCAGGTTGCTAAATAAAACAAGAGACAGAAAGATGGTCATAAGCAATAGTTAAAATATTTTTAATATTTTATAGTTTATATACTTTACATTATTTACATTTATTTTTCATGCATATTTCATATACATGTGTATATATGTATATGTGTGTATGTGTGTATTACATTATATAACTCTCATAAAAACCTTAATAAAGCCAAGGGCTCACAAATTGTAAAAGGCATATCTTAAATATAGGCCCAGATGACTTTAACACACATTTTTTTTAACCATTAACAGTCATCCTCCTTCCCAGCTGATTTAACAAGGGTAACTAATTTTCCATATAAAAGAGCAAAGTATCTAGAGCTTCACAATATGAATACTTGATTATGTTCATAGAAAACTAATATTTTGGAAATGTTAATAGAACCTTAAATTTTTTTTTTAATCCTCACCCGAGGACATTTTTCCATTTTTTGTTCAGGGAGAGTGGGGAGGCGGGGGAGAGAGAGAGAGAGAGAGAGAGAGAGAGAGAGAGAGAGAAACATCGACGTGAAAGGAACACATCGAGTAGTTGCCACCCGCACGACCCAACCAGGGTCAGGGACAAACTGCAACCGAGGTACATGCCCTTTGCGGGAACTGAACCCAGGTCTCTTTGGACCACAGGCCGACGCTCTACCGCTGAGCCAAACCGGCCAGGGCTTAAAATTTTTTAAAAAATCTGTGGCCAAGGTTTATGGAGAGCTAGGTTAAACAAATCACCATATTTACTACAGAATTTCTCATTATTTTAACATGTAAATATATGTTTTATTACGCTAACGTGACAAATTTTCCAAGACAGTTTTCATCATTCTGGAATACAGTTTGGGAAACTACTGCTACAATATACAGTGCCAATTTAACTTTTACACAGACTACCTTTGAAATCTTTAAGTAGTTAGCTTATTACAGGCATATAATCCTTTAAAATACAGAACATCAAAGTTAGAATGTGGCCTAACAGCTTCAAGCCACATCAACTCTTCAGAGTTGGCAACATTGCTCATTTCCTACCCAACAAAACTGAATTTCCCACAACACAATAAACTACCTGTTATCGCTGGCTTTTTGTAGCTCTGCAATGTTATCCACTGCTTTACTAAACAAAATTCAGACCCATTTAAAATTGGAGGGAAGAGATGGCAGAAAAAGCAGTTTCCACATAAAACATGTGCATTGGTTAATTGTGGTAAGTCATTCTGATGGTCCTGGGCATCACTGCTAACTTTCCAATATGGAAAGCTAAATTTTAACTCTATCAATAGTGGTACATTAACACTGCATACCATTTCACACCTGAGCATGCTTGCCTGTCTCCAACTTTCCAACTCAAACTGTTTATTGCTCAAGTTTATTAATCTTTTTTGTTGTTGTTCAGATAGAGTGGGAGGGAGAGAGAGGAAGAGAGACAGAAACATCGACATGAAAGGGACACATGGAGTGGCTGCCACCCGCACGACCAACCAGGGCCGGGGACAAACTGCAACCGAGGTACGCACCCTTAGCGGAAACCAAACCCGGGTCTCTCTGGACCACAGGCCGACACTCTAACCACTGAGCCAAACCGGCCAGGGCTCAAGTTTATTAATCTTTCCAGAGTTTTAAAAAAAAAGAGCTAAAGGCAGTGACACAAGTTGTGTTCATCATATGAGCCACAGAGACGGATTAGTCCCTAGATAAATAATTCTACTGGAAACCAATTTACCTGCTTCTCTGTTATACCTAGATACAGTTATTGATTAGGCCATTTTTAACAAAACCAGATGAAATTACTATGTAGTAACAGGAATTAAAATCCAAATTTAAACTACGCTAAGATTCTCAACACTGCCTTACAAGGAAAACGATGTTCTACTTACTTAAAGTGAGTAGTATCTTTGGAATTGCTTTCTGCCCTCTGCTCTGAAGGAATGCCTCCACCCATTCAAAGTCTGTATCAGACACATCTCCAATTTGGAGGAAAAAAAAATTAAAACACAATAAAATGTGATACCATCCACTTATTTTGAAAGGAGTTGTAAAGGGGAAAAAGTAGCCTCAACACTGAAAAAGCAAATTTCAATATTTTGGTTTTAGAAACTTTTTAAAACTAATAATTAATTCAAGTCTTAACTAGCATAACCATTGAAAGCAAATGTGACAATACAATAAATTATTTTAAGGCACAGCTACATCAGTTAAAAACGTTTTGAGTAGTGACTTGTGTATGAGAACATGGTTAATTCTGATACGCAAAATCCCCAAAGTGAAAGAATTCAAATCAGCTAATGTCATTAAGAAAAACAAATAGGAACAGGAAAGAAAAGAGATTACAAAAAGAAACAAGTTCCACTGGCAATAGTATTCAATATTTACCTACTGCATTTTATTTTTGTTAATGTGTACAAAAATAAGAATGCCTTTTTAAAAAAATAAAACCACCAAACCTACAGACACTGACAACTTGGAAAAATCCTTACATGTTGGCAGCAATGATTTCCAAATTGTCCTGAAAAGAACTGATAAATTTCCAAAAAATTCAGAATACGGATCATTTGGAAGTTTTACAGGATGTAAACCAGACGAAATGGAAGTATCATGAGCTTTTATCTTAGAAAAATGCACTTACATACATTGGGATTTCATCTTTCAATAGCCTTCATTATCTGTCAAAATGCACTTAACTGAAATTCTTAGTTCACAACTAGGTTTCACATGTACAAATAGATTTGAAAGGTGAAATCTCCACTAAATATATACATTTGTAAAATGTCATAAACAGTACTAGTTGCACCATCAGTGTATTATTTATCTCTTGTCCCTCAGTAAAATAGGTTTAACTAAATAAATTAACGATCTGAAAGTTTACAGAATAACATTCTACTTAGCTGCAGCAAAACAGCTCTTGCTGGGTCCATTTTTTAAAATGTTGACAGTGAGAATCTCCAATGACACCACCAGAATACCAGAGAGAAAAATATATTAAAAAACTTGACACTGAAAACACAGAGGAACACTTTTCACTCATATAAACAAAGGTTAAACTGGAAAGCCATGTACTTACTGAAAAAAAATTTTTCTAACAAGATGAGCATTTTTCTAGTAAAACTTCCTGTTTCCCTACTCTCAAAAAAAGGTGGGGATAGAAGGAAAAAAACCACAGTCCCTTTTAATAGTAACAAAGTGATGAAGGACAGAATGACCAGGTTAAGTAGAGCTCAGACACCTGTGCAGCACCGACTCCTCTCCTCGGTTGCACAATTTGTAAACGCACATTTTTCGCCAAGTCCACATCTGACCGCACTACGTAATGCTTACATCCCCTCCCCCTCCCCCACTCCACTTATGACGCCGATCATCTTCCCAGCAGGTAGGTGAGCTCAGTACCATTCCGGCAGACAATCAAGTGTACCGTCTCAGAAGAGACTGGGTCAGGGAAAGAGGAAATGATCGAGAAAGTGAGAAAACAGATAAAAGAGATATACGTTTAAATGGAGGGGACGGTTCACAGCGGTGTGCAGGGTGTGGGTGAGGGGTGGGGAGCTACGATAGGAGACGATTCCAGAGGGAAGGGTCTCAAAGGAGAGTAGAGGCAGAGGCTCCACAGGAGATAGGAAGGGGGCAGGTCCGTCCAGGAGAGAAAAACAATAAGTAAGCAAATAAATAAATAAACGCCAGCACGTCCCTCGGGTAATCATCCGAGGAAGGGGACTCTCGAGACCACAGCGGGCGACAGAACCAGGACCCCCGGCAGCGCAGGAGGCCGGAGCGGGGGCGGGGGCCAGGAACTCACCACCTGGTAGCGGCCAGTCCCGGGCTGGAGATGATCCATCCTGCCCGGCTTGGGATCCGGCTCCGAGCCGGCGAGTCCCCTAGGTGCTCAGCCCCCTCGGCCAACCCCGTCGACGATGTCGCCACAGGGGCCCTCTGCCTCCTTCTGCCGCTGCGGTCACCCGTCCGGGCCGCTTCACTTCCTGTCGCTGCCGCAGCAGCCGCGGAGACCTCCGCGTCAGCAGCGGCTCGGTGAAGCTCCGAGGCGCTGCGCGCGCTACTGAGCATGCTCGGGACGGTCGCGCATGCCTGCTAGGTCCTGCGGCGGCCGAGCCGCAGCGCGAGTGGCGGGGGCGTTGGCTGGGTGGGAGGAGATGGAAAAAGTAAGACGAGTCCTGGGGTGCCTAGGTTGTCAGCCTGTCGAGAGTGGGCGATTGCCCAAGGAGGTGGAGGGGCGGGGAGGTCGCGGTCCTTGATTGGTCTTTTCTATGTAGTTTTGGCGCAGGCACAGGTTTGCTGCACAGTCACCACGCAGGAAACAAATGTCGAGGAGGGAGGGAACGCGTTCCTAGAACACCTGAGGACCTGCCACCCATTTACCAACACTTCCTGTTGTTACTCACCCAGCCTGGGCAATGCAGGGAGATCCATTAGAGAGAGAAGAGATAGCTTGAAAATATTGTTTTCCTCTTGGTAGTAAAAGGTTTGAAGAATCCAGCAAGGACTCTTCAGCCATACTCGTATATCTCACCAAGGAAACAGGCCTGTAGAGCCCGAGGTTACTGGAAGGATACAAGAAAATAATAAAATAAGATAGGACTAGTTTGTGGTCACGAATCACCAATTCGGAAGAGTTTAAAAGCAAGACATTATTTTATGTGTAACTTTGTAAGACAATCTCAATATCTGGTTAAATATAGGTAACCTATGTCGACATAAATATCCAAAATTGTGGAAACTTTTTATAAGTTTGTCTGAGCAGCCTTGACAACATATACTGGGGAGCAAGATCTCAAATGCTCCGGAAGATAATGCATTTGATATTAAGGAGGAGACATAAAGAAGATTGGAGGAAGCAAGGTGGAGATTGGATTACAGGATATTTAACAAAATTATGTGATCCCTTAGCTGCAGCAAAACATAATCCCTTAAAGGTTCATAATCCCTTTGAAGAGTATTACTTCTTATTTAAAAGGTATGTTAACCACCCAGCCAGTGTGGTTCAGTGGTTGAGCACTGACCCATGGACCCAGAGATTGCTGGTTCAATTCTCAGTCAGGGCACATGCCCAGGTTGTGGGCCAGATCCCCAGTGGGAGACATGCAGGAGGTGGCCAATCATGTTCTCTCTTATTGATGTTTCTATTTCTCTCTCCCTCTCTCTTCCTTTCTGTTGAAAATCAATAAAGAAAGAAGAAGAAAAAAAGGTGTGTTAACCTCGGTGCACAAGAACAATGGACCCAACTGGCATAAAATCTTTCACTCAAGTTATATGCCTGGGGCATGGCAACTCACCCTGACCTGCTCGTTCTCTATGGTGTAGAAGAGTATGATGGGCATCGTAAAGTACCTTTTAACTCAAAGACCTGCTTCCTATACCCTGAAAACTGATCCCACACGATCTGGTCCAGCTATCTTTTTTACTTTAATTAACTCCTGAATCACCAAAGGGGATTCCTGGAATGAAGAAGGCCAGCATATGAGGCTGATTAGTCAGTTGAAATAGCAAAAATACAGTAAAGACTTATTGAGAAATCGACAATTGAAAAACGTAAACTTCCTGGCAATATTTTTTCCAAAGCACTCATCAGTTCTTTCTATTTTTGCCATCTTAACATCTAGTGGTAGAGAGCAGTAATAGACTAATATTAAGAGGTAATGATATTTGCCCAGCTCATGTATGGCTCAGTGGATTGAGCATTATCTGGTGGACTGAGAAGTCCCGTTTAGATTCCTGGTCAGGGCACATGCCAGGGTTGTGGGCTTGATCCCCACCCAGGAGGGGGCATGCAGGAAGAAGCCGATCAATATTTCTCTCTCACACGGACGTTTCTCTCTCTCTCTCCCTTTGTCTCTCTAAAAATCAATAAAAATATATTTTAAAAAAAGAGGTAATGATATTTATTTTTTAAAGTTGCTTTCTTTAGAGCTAACAATGTATTTTAAATTCCAAGATAAAATACTTTTTTCTTTATTGATTTTTAGAGAGAGAGTAAGGAAGAGGGAGAGAGAGTTAGAAATTTTATTGTATTACTGTACAAGAGCTCACCCTCACAATTTCACCCCAAATGGTATCACCTTTCAGTGATCAGAATAATAGCCACTGATTTAAAAAAATTATTAAGAAAAATAAAAGAGCATAAATCATTTTGAAAAAAACTCAGGTAATTTCAGCAAAATGAAATTAGATTCCTATGTTGCTTATGGTGTATATGGTTAATTTAGAACTTAATTTTATATGTGCTTTCCTTTTCATTAACCATTTATATGTCCATTTGTTTTTCAAATAGACTGCTCCTCAGGGCAGGGCCATTTTTTCACCTAGCTCTCCCAGAACAGACTGAGAACACAGTGGTGAAAACCAAAGACCTGACCAAATGCAGACATGCTGAATGAATCCTGTTAGAGTTGTAGATTCTTTCAATTTTACCCTCCTCCCAAGTTTTGTGAACATTTTGCTAATCCAGAGAGCAGGTGACAAAACTCAACAGGAAAGCATTTTTTTTCCTGTGGAGAAGGAGGAGAAAGAGAAGCAGAAAAACAGCTAACAGGTATTGAGCCCTTCCCAAACTAAGGACTGCATGTAGGAATCATTTCATCCTCACAACAACTCCATGATGCCAGCACAATTGTAATCCTTGTTTAACAAATCAGAAAACCGAGGCACTAAGGGTTCAGGAACCTGTCCAAAGCCCAATCATTAGTAATTGTTGATACTCCAGAGCTTCCACTATATTGAGCACTATGCTATAATACACCTCCCTTACTCTTCCCCCCACAAAAACCCTTGTTTCTTTCTGTCCATCACTATTGTGGAACTTGTACAGAACAACAACAAAAAAATAGTGATGCATCCCGAAGAGCCCATCTGACTTTCTTAAATCTCACCTTCTTGACCTTTATGAAATAAATGATTTTTTCTCATCATTCCTGAAAAAGCCGTTCTGAGCTCCTTTTGCCCATTTCACAGCTAAGGCTGCAATGGGCCATCACAAGCAGAAGCCCAAGAAGAGCAACTTTTATGGGATGAAATGGGAGTAACAATTCTTATCATTTTACAGGCCTTAAGCAACACCCAATATTTTTAATCCCTAATCTGTTGGTGGTGACAACTCTAATTACCTAAGGAATTGATGGTGGTTTACCACTATAATTTGTCTCAAGAGGAATTTTAGAATTGCAGGGCATTGCCCTGGCCAGTTTGGCTCAGCGGTTAGAGCGGCAGCCTGCGGTCCGGAGAGACCCGGGTTCGGTTCCCGCTAAGGGCACATACTTCGGTTGCAGTTTGTCCCCGGCCCTGGTTGGTCGTGCGGGTGGCAGCCACTCGATGTGTCCCTTCACGTCGATGTTTCTCACTCTCTCTCCCTTCCTCTCTCTCCCTCCCACTCTATCTGTACAAAAAATGGAAAAAATATCCTCGGGTGAGGATTAAAAAAAAAAAAAAGAATTGCAGGGCATTTTACTAACACCTCTTGCTCTGGCCTAATTCATTTTCATCTCCAAATAAACAGCCACCAAAATTTTACTAGTGCCATACTACAGTACTGGGGCAGACATGGAGATAAGCAGATTGTATTCCCTGTCAAGAAACCACTCTCTGCGCAGCAGCAAGGAGTGTGATTAACCGACAAAGTCCAGCTGTTTTGTAGGGGTCTCCTTTAGCTTTCAACCTGAAGGCATGCTATTTTCAGGCTGGCACTTGGCCATTGACTGAACAGATGGTGGTACAGGTCTAGCCACTTTTGCCTGATACTGGACTCCTTTAAGGGGCAATCTTTTCTTCAGAGCTCCCTGCTGAACTGGCAGAGACTTTGTCAGCTCTGCAGTATATTGTGACAACTCTCCTCACCCAAACCTTTTTACTTCCAAAGATATTACCTCCCAACAAATCTCTTAAGTTCATAATTTTATATCAGCTTCTGCTTCCTAGAGAATCCAACCTAGACAAGTACCAAGATGTAAAGTGATATAACATTGTTAATATCAACAAAATTGGGTTAAATGACTGCAACTGCTCTTTCACATGGCTGTTGTTTCATCTCCAGAATAACCCTCAATATCTTCCATTGTTATTTTTTTCTCATGTGGACATAATGTATCTACAGCCTCCCACTAAGAATAACTTTGATGTTGTTCTATACAGTGATACCATCATATCATAGGGTCCCCTTTGCTTGGACCATACTTCCCATTGAAAATCCCTCCCGTCTTCCACGAAGCAAAGTCATTCCCTCCAGAAGTAAACTGATTTCTCATCATCTTCCATATTCTCCTCTTCTAACCAGGTTTGCTAAGCTGCATGTACATCACCAGGATTCTTTATTGAGATTCCCATTAGTTAAAGAGCAGAAGACAATCTATTGCCTGCAAGTGGCCATATACACAGGCCTGAATCAGGGGAAAATGCTCCATAATTTTCTTACTTTTTTCAGTGAATTTTAGTTGTTTGGGTTTTTTTGTTTTGTTTTTTTGTCACTTCCTGTACAACATACAACATACAACATAGACCTACTCAAGTAGGTCTTGATGGGTAGTTTGACCATAATCCTAATAGTTTGTTCCCTTTGGAGTGTATGATTTTGTATATTTACCTAGAAAATGATTGAAAAAGAGATAAAATTACATTATCCAAAGATTTCTATCTCTACCTAATAAAAATTCACTAGTCACTATTTTCTATACATTCAATTCTAAAATATATTTAGAAAATGCAAAAAACTATTATTTATTTTAGCCAATGAAAATAAGCATAATCATTACTCCAAAATTGTATCTCTATAACCATATACGTGGATCTTTTAAGCAGTTTGTAGACTTGAACTTCAGTTTAGCTTCACATAATCTTCCTTATGTCACTGGTTCTAAGATTTCTGTCAATTGTTCAGCTCTATAATTTTAGAAAGAAAATCTAACATGAGCAATTAGACAATCAGGTATCTATTTCCTTTCCCTCTTTTTGTTCTCATGCAATGTGTTGGAAGAATCTAAAATACAGCTGTTTTTTGTTCAGTTTTATTTTTTATG